TTTGCCAGACCAATTCTCGAATATAGCTCATCTGCCTGGAACCCCCACTGTATAACGGGCATTAACACAATTGAGTGGGTTCAGAGGTATTTCTTGAGAAAAGTACTCCACTCCTCCACTCACAATAAAATTCCCTATGGCTCCAGTCCAGGCTTGAAATTTTGGGCCTGGACAATCTAGAACTGCGCCGCCTGCAGTCCGATCTAAGCATAGTACACAAAATTGTCTGTTACAATGTCTTACCTGTCAATGACTTCTTCAGCCTCAGTCACAATAAACAACCACTACAAACTCAAGGTAAACCACTCCAAACTCAATTGCAGGAAATATGACTTTAGCAACAGTGTGCTAAAGTGCCTTTTGGGGAGGGGCCTGGAACACACTATCTGACTCCGTTGTTACAGCCTCAACCCCTCACAGCTTCAACCTCAAACTGTCTACCGTGGACCTCCCCCCATTCCTAAGAGGTCCTTAAAGGGGATGTGCATATGCGCACCAGCGTGCGTATCGTCCCTGTCTTACTGTCCCCATTTACTCCTTGTTCTTGTTTATTTACTCCTTGTTCTTGTTTATGTTCATACTTATACTTGTTATCTCGTACATGTTTGACAAACAAATAAAAATAAATTTTAAAAAATTCCTTACCCAGAGACAATGCCCCTATGGCTCTGGACACATAGAAACAAGAGAACATGTGCTTCTCTAGTTCAGGTACAGAGATATTCATACTAGTCTTAGCTCACCATCACAGGTAGTCTTTGACTTAAAACAAATCATTTAGTTGTTCAAAGTTACAACAGAGCCCCTCCCCAAAAGTTCCTTATGACCTATTTTCAAAGTTATGGCTGCTGCAGCACCCTTGCATTCACAACTGACTGCAGGGACACTGTAGCATCTCTTCATGCCACTCCGCTGCAGCTACTCATCCACCCAAGGAAGTCCAGGCAGGCTGAAGCACATGTGAATCATCTGGAGCATTCAAACCTCCATCTTCCTTCCTACCCAGCGACCACACTGGCTGGATCTTCCCTTGGTCATTGGAGGCTTGCAAGTTCCAGTGGCTGATTTCCCCTAGGTTGCTGGATGGGAAAGAAGCTAAAGGACTCCAGTGGGCAAGAAGCAGAGCACAGGATGCCTCAGGAGGTGGGGGGAAGCCTTTGGAGGACCAATGCATGTGAGCCTGGGCCTGTGTTCCTTAGGCTGCCTTGCTTAACATCCATCACCACTTGTACAAATAGTTTTCAGTTTTCAATTAAAATTACAGTTGTAACCTTAAAACTATTTGTACAATTTTACACAACTCCGTTGCTTTCAGATACCAACCTTCTACAATAAACATTGCCAGGTTCTATGTAGCATTCAAAATTCATTGGATGACCTCTGCTATAAACTAGGTTTAACAAACACCTGGTTCACAGTATTGAGTGCTTCGTAATTTGATATTTATTTATTTATTTGATTTGTCAATTGCTTACAAGATAATAGGTATAAGTATATATATAGTTATGAATACATGAAATGGGTACATATAAGAAAAATAAAAGAAACAATAGGACAGGGATGGTAGGCACGTTGGTGCACTTATCCACGCCCCCTACAGACCTCTTAGGAAAGGGGTGAGGTCAATAGTAGACAGTCTAAGGTTAAAGTTTTTGGGGTTTAGGGAAGAAACTAGAGTCAGGTAGAGTATTCCAGACATTGACAACTCTGTTGTTAAAGTCGTATTTCTTGCAATTAAGTTTGGTGCAATTAACCTTGAGTTTGTATCTATTGTTTGCTCTAGTGTTGTTATGGTTGAAGCTGAAATATTCATTGACAGGTAGGACATTGCAATGTATGATTTTATATACTATGCTTAGATCGACCGAAGACGGCGTAATTCAAGGTTTTCTAGGTCTAGAATTTCAAGTCTGGTGGCATAAGGTATTCTACAATGAGTAGAGGAGTGGAGAACTCTTCTTGTGAAATTATTTCTGGACTTTCTCAACTGTGCTAATATCAGATACATAATGTGGGTTCCAGACTGATGAGCTGTATTCGAGTATTGGTCTAGCAAATATTTTGTATGCTCTGGTTAGTAGTGTGATATTACCAGAGAAAAAGCTATGTAGGATTAGGTTAACAACTCTTAATGTCTTTTTGGCTATGTAAGTTACAGTGGGCTCTAGCACTTAGATCATTAGAGATGAGTATTCCAAGGTCCTTTACAGATATTGGATCATCAGCAAGATCTTGACTATTCAGCTTGTATTTTATTTGCTTATTTTATTTTTTTTGCCAATATGTAAGACGGAGCATCTATTTGTTGAGATTTGAAGTTGCCATTTGTTTGACCATTCTGATACATAGTCAAGATCTTTTTGAAAGGTAGCAGTATTGTCTGTGGTATTGAACAGCTTTACATCATCAGCGAAAAAAACGCAGTTGCTCTTAATATGATCACAGAGGTCATTTATGTGGAGTATGAAGAGAGTTGGTCCTAGAACACTGCCTTGGGGGACACCACTATTGACAGGTACAGAATTTGATAGGACACTCCCAATTTTGACCATTTGTTGTCTGTTTACAGGAATGCTTCTATCCAGTTATGCAGTTGTCCAGAGATACCATAAGATTTTAGTTTTAGTAGTTTGTTATGTACCACTGAATCAAAGGCTTTACAGAAGTCTATGTAGATTGCGTCTATTGCTTTGCCCTGATCGAGTTGTGTAGTCCATATGTTTTTGCAGTGTAAGAGTTGCAGATTACAGGATAGTTTTTTCCTGAAACCAAATTGTTTATTGGAGAGTTGGTTGTTTGTCTGTAAGTGGAGGATAATGGATTGGTTAATAATTGATTCCATGACTTTACAGGTGACGCAGCATAAGGAGATTGGTCTGTAATTTTCAACTAGGCTGGGGTGTCCCTTTTTGAAGATGGGGATGACCATGGCTTGTGACCATAGGTTAGGCAAGGAGCTGGTCCTGAAAGATTTTTCAAAGATTATACTTAGAGGTTCAGCTATGGCAGTGGATAGCTTTTTTAAGAAGTAGGCACATATTCCGTCCGGTCCAATAGATAGAAAGGGTTTTAGATTGCATAGTGCTTTTTCAACATTGTCTTCTGTAAAATCGATATGTATTAGATCAGGGGTCCCCAACCGCCGGTCCGCGGACCGGTACCGGGCCGCGGAACAAGCCTTACCGGGCCGCTGGTTGCTGGGCGCCGCCATCTTTTTTTTGGTAAAAAAGCGCTTCTGGTGAGCTTTTCCGGGTAGAAAGCTCACCGGAAGCGCCTTTTCGTCATAAAAAGATGGCGGCGCCCAGTTGACGCCGGTACCGGGCCGCGGCGCCCAGCTGATGTCGGAACCGGGCCGCGGTGTCGAAAAGGTTGGGGATCCCTGTATTAGATCATTGTAGTTGTCTGTGGTTCAGCTAGGAAATACTGGGCATGTTCCATTGCTGTTTACAAATACTGAGCCAAAGAATGTGTTAAAGATGTTGGCTTTAATGGTGTCGTCATTGCAGTCTTTACCATTAGGTCCTTATCAGGGGTATAATCTTATTATAATCTATAATAGAATTATAATATATAATCTTCCATATATTAATCCCTTATGTTCTTCTATACCAAGGGTCTTCAAACTTGGCAAGTTTAAGACTTGTGGACTTCAACTCCCAGAATTCCTGAGCTAATATGACTGGACTGGAGGAGGAATTCTGGGAGTTGAAATCCACAAGCCTTAAAACTGTCAAGTTTGAAGACCCCTGTTCTATACCCATCTAATGTTCCTTTAAATTTTTCAATTTATGTAACTTTGCTTCTCATAATTCTTTTTTAGAGTTACATTTTCATTCTTGATGTATCCTTTATGCTTTGTTAATGACTATCCCATCTTCCTTATGCTGGTCTATAATCAAGATTTGATTTGATTTGATGTTACATGTTTTTTCTTCTGAAGAAATATCCTTTTAGTCAGGAATCAGGCAATGTAGACTTATGTAGTCACAACATGAAACAATCCTCGTGCAGCATATCAAATGTTAAGCTTACATTTATCAAAGATGGTGTCGTGCTTCTTTATATTATAGTGCAAATGCAAATTACACTCCTTGAGCTAGGTATGTATTGTACAGAAATTTACAAGATCTTAAGTCTTAAGGTAATTGAGTACTTTACTAAATACATATAATCACATGTATAACTCCACCCTTACTTTTAAGTGTTCAGAGTGTAAAATCACAAAATGTTTGAAGGAAGGACTGCATACCATTACTTCTCAACCGTGGCAACTTTAAGATAGGTGGACTTCAACTCCCAGAATTGCCCAGCCAACACAGCTAGTTGTGCTGGCTGGGGAATTCTGGAAGTTGAAGCTCTTCCTTCTTAAAGCTGCCAAGGATGAGAAACACTAATCAATATAGTTGTAGTTTACCACAATTAAGATTTTTAAAATCTCAATTTTATTTTGTCTTGAAGACACAATTAGAATATTGACTATGATTTAAGAAAATAAGAAAAATGGAATTAGAAGGTTTTCAAGCTGCTGGATTTTATATTAAACATCATGACTATGTCCTAGAATGTGAGGCAGTAAGATTTAGCCCTTAAGCCTGCTGAGACAAAAAAACACCCCTCTGCTTATCAAGATTGAAAGAGTTGCCAAGATTCTGAAAAAATAAAATAACTTCTCACAAATTGTGATGCTCACTTCTTTCTGTCACATTAAGTTCTGGATTTTACTTCCATTGCATTTTTATTGTTATTTCCACCTCCTTCCCTCTTTTTAATATGTTTATTAGTTTGTAAGTCAGCAATTCACCATATCTTTTTTCTAAAATTGGGAATGTTACCTTACCTATCCAGTCACTGAAAACTCAGATCATCCTTCCCACTTTGGCAGTCAAAAAGATTTAAATGTGGTTAGTCTCCAGCTTGTAACTGTTACCACCTGAATACCAGATGCTGTTTTAAGATAACTTTGAAGATTGAACAAATCACACTATTTTCCATTTTTTTATTTCTTTCCAAATTATAATACAAATAATATTGAAACAGGAAAATGTTCCATTTTGTTTTAACATTTAAAAAACAACTTTTCCATACAGGTTATATAACTTTAGAACAGAAGGCAAAAACAAAACATTTATTAAGAAAAGTTAATATGAAATACTCCGTCTTCAAATAGGCTCACATTCTCCTCTTCTGTGTACTTATATATAACACTGTGTAAGAGGAAAAAATAATACATTAAACAAACTCATGATAGACTAACAATAATTACTGTAGCTACAGTTCACAAATTATTTATTACCACTGAGCAGGAATATAACAAGAAAAAAATAATTTTTGAGAGACAGAAGCCCAATTATGAAACTCTCCTATGCGATGGCCCTAATGTTGTCTTACAGTTTATTCCAGGCTTAGACTGTATCTAAAATGCCTATTATTTTGTTTTCATTTTTTAAAAGAACTTTTAAAAAAATATTTTTAATTACTGCCATTAAACACTGCTGGTTCTGTTAAGATTATTTTATTCAAGACTTTAAATAGGGCGTTTATTGTAAACATCTCAGGACTCCTTTGGAAAGGACTCCTTTGGTGATTATAGCTCAGCATTACAGGCAGAACTGAAAAATTCCTTTATTTTTATGGAAAAATGTTTTGTACTACTGAAAGAAACCATAATCTGCAGTCCCAGGACAGAATGTGATTTGGGCCATGGAAGTCTTTGCATGTGATTTGGCAGCACCAGGTTAAGGATGAAGAAGGGAGATAGGAAATATAGAAGTTCGTATTTTTTTCAAATTTATATATTTACTTTAAAAAAAAAAAGACCTAACATGCTCATCAAACCTCTTTCTGCCATGTGAAGTAATTAAAAATTTCATTTTATTTATTACATTTTTATGCTGACCATCTCCCCTATAAGGAGATTCTGGGAAGCTTACAAGTTATAAACCAAGTAGAAAAATAATTAAAATATTAAAACGATTTTAAAACTATACTGAAACCAGGGAAGGGATTGGATGGAGATGAAGTCTTTTTACCCTGTCAGCCACCCCCAGCTGTAAAGGTTCTCAGGCCAACCAGCAAAGCCAAGTTTTAATACCCTTCTGAAAAGCCAAAAGAGTGGAAGCAGTTCCCACCTCTGGCAATAGGGTATCCCACATGGATGAGGGCCATAATGGAAAAGGCTCTTTTTCCTCAAACCTGCCTGCCGGAATTCCTGCAGACAGGATCCATAGCAGGCCTCTTCCACTAGTGTGAGTGAGGCAGAGTAGTCCCATTGGGGAGAAATGGCTACTCAGATGGCCTGAATCTATACCATGTAAATTTTTTATGGTAACAACCAGCACCTTGAATTGGATTCAGAAGGAAACTTGTGCAGTCGCAAAGTTATACGTGCAGCCCTAGGCATTCCCAAGGATTGTGTGTCACTGTATTCTGCACCAGCTGCAGTTTCTGAATACTCTTCAAGGGTAGACCCATGTAGAACATGTAATCCATCTCAGTAATCCAGCTGACATATGACTAGGGCATGACTGACCATGCAAAGGGCTTCATGATCCAGATAAGAGTGCAACTGGGACACAACACAGTTGAATAAAGACCTTCCTAGCACAACTGTCACCTGCTCTTTGAGGAATTGTGAGTTCAGGAGGGCCCCCAATGTTGTGTAATAGATCTTCTGGAGTAGCGGAACCCCACTCAGAATTAATTATGGTAAACTACTGGATCCTGATGTCTCTTTTGTACCCACAACAACTGTGTCTTGCCTGGCTTCAGCTATTGTTCCCCATCCAGTATTAATATGTTCCCACTGACATCTTCATCTTTTCCTATCCTTAAACTAACTGAAGTTGAACTTAAAGAAATCCCAATTTTCCTATTGATTTTCATTTTTCCAAATCTAAAAAAATAATGAAAATTTCATGAATCTTCTTGAACACTGAAACAAATCAACTTCCCCAAAGCTAGACAAATTGGAATTACGAAAGGAAACAAAGTTTTAAAAAGCAAACAGGAAAAAGTGCAGGGGTAAATATAAACACACACACACACAAAAACCACTCTTGCATATAATACATTATTCATTCAAAATAATTTTTTTAATACCAATAAAGTTTTAATTGGATAATTAAAAGCTAGTATTTTTAATAAACATATTTACCATTATTTCCTCTGATGAAGGCATCTCCATATTTATTTTTCAATTGTCCATTTACATACTCTTCTGTCTGTTCCAGAGCAATATTCATGTAGCCATCCAAGCAGGCTAGTACACCTAGAATTACAGCCATTCACATATTATAACGTAATCTTCCAAACCTAGTATTGTTCTAAAATTTAATCAATACTATGTACAACTAGTGAGAATGAAAGTTAGTTATGCACAACAGCCAGTCCACTTTTATCTATCTAATACAATGTAATAAGTCTGCCAAAGAAATTAAGGATATTAAAATAAGAAAAGCTTAGTTACAAATAGTTAACACGATTACACCTGTCCATATCTTTTCACCTTTATAAACTATCCTTTATATTACGTCCTCACGTTAATTTATATACCACCTTTTGTTCTTTAAATTTCCTTTTTTTAAAGAATCTTACTTCTAATAAACTATTACTTTCTTGATTATGAGCCATTTCATCATCTTTTATATATGTTTTGCAATTCTATCCTCATGTGTTTTTTCTATATGATCAAACTACCTCAAAATAATTATTTCATGCACATTTCTATTTACATTCAGCAGTTGCATTTTGGACCCTATCTAGTTTTATTTTACATCGCTTATTTTTTAAATAATACATTTCAACTGCATTCGTTTTAGCTTTCTTTTGAAATACACAGCTGTTACTGCCTTATTAACCAAGCAGGCAGAGCCATTTTGTTTCCTGACATTCATCAAATTTGATCAAAAATATATGAGAAATAGTATCACTTTCCCAGGCACACTAAACAAACTAATCCTCTACACATTTTATTTTATTCTCAATTTATACTTGGAAGCCATCTTTTGACAAATTAAATACACAGGTACAGGTAGTCCTCGATTTAGAACCACAACTGAGACCAAAATTTCTTTTTTAAGTTGGGGTGGTTGCAAGTCAAGATAAAGAACATCATAATATATATAAAATGATTCACATGGAGAAATTTTCCTTCTTCATTCACAATGTCACAACTCCTATAAACCTAGAATTCAATTTTGATTAAGAATTTTTCAAGAACAGGCTATTTATTTAAGGATATTTCATTATTGAAAGAATACAATGTCTATTTCACTATTGAAAGAATACAAAAATCTATCACAGTTGGAAGATGAAGCAGGAAGAATATACCTCGGTAATCAACTCCAGAATTTAATTTTACAACAACTGGTCTTCCTATGATTTGCTTCAAGAAATCACTTGGAGTTTGTTTTCGTAGGCTCATTTTGGTATCTTACAAGTGCTCTATGAAAAAGCAGAAATAGGAATCTAATATTTGACAAAAACATAGCTAACTTAAAAAACCCTCATATTTATTATTTCAGCATTAAAGTACTAGTCACCACACGAAAGCATTCTATTCAATATATCATCTAATATTTAAAGCAGTACTCTACATGTTGTCTACATATCTGTTGAATACACAGCTAACTCTACAGCTGAAAACATTCAAAATTATCAGGCAATTCTATATGCAATTTTTATACAGAATTATTTGATAATCAATATGTTCACTAAAAAAAACAACCCTCCAAACTTTGATATTTACATTTGATCTTGGTAGGTTTCCTAAAATAACATTAAAATGTATCCCTAAATAAATCCAAAGTCTGCGTGTGCAATTCCAGACCCATATAATTTAAGACTAAGACAAATTGAAATCACTTATATTTGACTAAGTTTGTATAGGAATGCCCTTTTTAATTCTAAATTCTGTGTTTAGCCAGGGGGCTAGTAAAAATGATATTTATTCTAAACATGTAAGGCAGAAGTGGGCAACCTCTTTATATGTTTACATGTTTTTTCAACCTTTAAGGGCCATAAGAGGTATAGCACTGACATCAGTTGAAATAATTAATACCTTACTGCTATGTCTCTTGGGATTCTTAAAGGACATTTTTAAAACAGCAGTAAGTATGCTAGAGATCTTGAAGTATCCTTTTTTCTTCTTTAACAAAATTCCAGAATCATGCAGCCAAAACTCTGCATTTCACCATCTAATTATGATAGTGAAATTTCATAAACTTCTACGTGGCTTCAAAAATAACTGATCCGGTCCAAAAAAAAAAAAGGTTACCATCCACAATGTACACAGTTAAAAGCTACAATATACTAGGATGCACTTGAATTCCTGGAGTCCCGCAATCAAAATATTCCAGTTTATCCTTTTCCTCCAGCATATTCTTTGGCTCAGATTTTCTCCTTTTTTAACCTATATTTTCTCCTTTTGGTTCCCGATCATACCAAAGCACCTGCCTCCTGTGTCAGTTGCCTTTTTTCAAAGCGTTTTGCAGCTTCTCCCAACGACGATTATTATTATATTGTGGAGGGAGGGTCGCCAGGCAAGAGAATGAAGATGCTAATATCTCCGAAGACAGAAAAATAGCAACAAAACCCCCTGTTTTTGCTGAGCAGCGTAAGCGCAACCTGGAAGAACTTGAGCAGCGAAAGCCCCCCCCCCCTCCCCCGCTTCAGACCCGCTAATAAATGGGAAAATCGCGTTCAAAACGAGTCGCTTCTGCGCGCCGTGAAGGTTGCTTGCACCCTCCCCGAAGGTGCCCGGCGGGAAGAGCGACGAAGCCTCTCCCGTCCCTTCCAAGCGCCCGACCGGCGTGCCCGAAAAAAGCGTCGGCGCCTAACTCATACAGCGGCGGGAAAGCAAAGGAGGAGAAAGGCGAAGCTCAGCGCCTGCGATCAAGGGCCGCCCCCGCCGCCATTCAGGAACTTGCGGAACCCACCTGAACCGACCCCGCCATCTACTACAGTAGGGGTCTCCAACCTTGGCCACTTTAAGCCTGGCGGACTTCAACTCCCAGAATTCCCCAGCCAGTGTTACATACAGCCTTCGGTTCATGCCTTTCCCGCCCGCCTCCACTTACCCGCGCTTCTTCCACTTCTTTAATCAACTCAAGACAATCCTCCCGAACCAAGGATGATGGGCTGCTCCAAGGACCAATCAGGGCTTCCCAGCTGTGTGCTGCCAGCTACGGTGGCCAAACGTGGCCAAAATCCTTCCGGCTTCTGTGTCCTGAAAGAGGTTTCCTGTTTGAGGCCGCCGCGGGAAGCTTAACGCGGGACGTGGCTCCTCCTGCTCATTTTATGGAGCCTTCCTTCCTTCCCAATTATCGTGCACGCATGGGGATCGGCGCAGGTTGTTCTCTTAGAAAAGGCAACAAGCTAATTCACAGTTGTTGTTTTATTTAATTCAGTGGATTGATTAGGTATGAGCTTCATGAAGTTAAAGTAGGAAGTAAGAGTTGCGGTTTTGTATAATGTTACAGTTAATAACAGATAATGTTACAGTTGATAACATAATTTGCTGATTTTACTAATTGGGGTGTCAACTGAGACCTTTGTAGGTCCAGAAACAAACTGATTGAAGTATCATGAAGTCTTTGTCCTTTCTTAGCAGCCATATAGATTCTCATGATATTCTGTAATCTGGTCTTGGTGCATTCCAATGATGCATTCCACCACTCACTCACTTACTTACTTACTTACTTTATTTATTTGTCAATTGCTTACAAGATAATAGGCATAAGTAAAAACATAGTTATGCATACATGGATACATATAAGAAAAATTTAAAAAATATAAAAGAAACAATAGGACAGGGACAGTAGGCACATTGGTGCGCTTATGCATGCCCCCTACAGACCTCTTAGGAAAGGGGTGAAGTTAATAGTAGACAGTCTAAGGTTAAAGTTTTTGGGGTTTGGGGAAAAAACCACAGAGTCAGGTAGAGTATTCCAGACATTGACCACTCTGTTGCTGAAGTCGTATTTCTTGCAATCAAGTTTGGTGCAATTAACCTTGAGTTTGTATCTATTGTTTGCTCTAGTGTTGTTATGGTTGAAGCTGAAGTATTCATTGACAGGGAGGACATTGCAATGTATGATTTTATATACTATACTTAGATCAGACCGAAGGCGGTGTAGTTCTAGGTTTTCTAGGTCTAGAATTTCGAGTCTGGTGGCATAAGGTATACTGCAACGAGTAGAGGAGTGGAGAGCTCTTCTTGTGAAATATTTCTGGATTTTGTCTACTGTGCTAATATCAGATACGTAATGTGGGTTCCAGATTGATGAGCTGTATTCGAGTATTGGTCTAGCAAATGTTTTGTATGCTCTGGTTAGTAGTGTGATATTACCAGAGAAAAAGCTATGTAGGATTAGGTTAACAACTCTTAACGCCTTTTTGGCTATGTAGTTACAGTGGGCTCTAGCACTTAGGTCATTTGAGATGAGTACTCCAAGATCCTTGACAGAGTTTGGATCATCAACAAGGTCTTGACTATTCAGCCTATATTTTATTTTCTGATTTTTTTTGCCAATATGTAAGACAGAGCATTTATTTGTTGAGATTTGAAGTTGCCATTTGTTTGACCATTATGATACATAGTGAAGGTCTTTTTGAAGGGTAGCAGTATTGTCTGTGGTGTTGAGTAGCTTTACATCATCAGCGAAGAGAACGCAGTTGCTCTTGACATGATGACAGAGGTTATTTATGTATTTATGTTACAGGGTCCATCTCTTTCCTTTTTCACCTTTTCCAGCGTTAGAGCCTTTTTCCAGATATCTGAATCGTAGCTTAACGCAGTTCTAGTCATTTGTGACTCAATCTAGTCATTTGTGACTCAATTGAGAGCTCTGGTTGATTTATTCAATGTTCCACTAGCTGGTTTTCTTGTCTGAATGAATGAATGAATGAATTCTTTATTGGCCAAGTGTGATTGGACACAAGGAATTTGTCTGTGGTGCATATGCTCTCAAGTTTGCATAAAAAGAAAGTTACATTCATCAAGAATCATAAGGAACAATACTTAATGATTGTCATAGGGTACAAATAAGCAATCAAATCATATTAGGAGACAATATAAATCATAAGGGTACAAGCAACAAAGTTACAGTCAGGATGGGTGATAAGAGTCATGAGAAGATTAATAGTAATAGTAATGCAGATTTAGTAAATAGTTGGACAGCGTTGAGGAAATTATTTGTTTAGCAGAGTGATGGTGTTTGCGAAAAAACTGTCCTTGTGTCTAGTTGTTCTGATGTGCAGTGCTCTATAGCGTTGTTTTGAGGGAAGGAGTTGAAACAGTTTATGTCCGGGGTGTGAGGGGTCTGTAAATATTTTCACAGCCTTCTTTGACTCATGCAGTATACAGGTCCTCAATGGAGGGCAGGTTGGTAATAATTGTTTTTTCTGCAGGCCTAATTACCAGTCTGCTTCTGGTATTAGGAGTCTTCCCCATTACCAAAATTCTCCTTCAGAAATCACCAGGAACTTTACTAGAAGCATGCAGCTTTTCACTAGAGAGTAAACATTAAGATTAAAAAGTAATCTGAAAATGGGAAGAATTTTGACCTGTCTTATCCCTCCAGCTGTCAACATTCTTGGGTACTCAATAGGTACAAAATATAATTACTATGGTCAATGCAAGTTACCAATGCCTGTACAAAAGGAGCTGCATGCAACCTGCAGCGGTGGGTTGAAAAATAGATGCTCAATTCTGTTATAATGGCAGCATTGTCTTGGATACCCACCAACCCATCACATTTGACATTTATCAGGAAGAAGTTATATTTTCTGTTATGGTTTTCTTAGGTAATTGAATAAGTTTTTGGTGGCATCTATATACCACCAAACTATATACCAAAAGGAGGAGGAGGAGATACAAGTAAACATAGCTTGATTGTTCTTAATTTTCAATTATCTGCATATGATTTGTTTTCTGTTACATAATGAGCTGTTCTTTTCATGTATCATCTGAATATCTTTCTTGTTTAATATACAACTTCCGCTTTTTAAAAAATAGTTCCTTTGACAAACAAAGCAGGAAGTCTACTCCAAGTGCTGATATGTCTATAAAGCATGCTTCCTAGAATAAGGGTGTCAAGGGTACACAAAAGAGACAAGCAGAAGGAAAGAGAAACAGAAATATACCTTTGGTATGATTTAAATTCTTTTTCGTCAAAGAAAATTAATCTTCAGATTGAGGACACAAATTTCTAGAAAGGTCTCTTGTATAAGCTGTATTGAAATGTTTTTCATCAGAGGAGCATAAAGCCATTGGAGGCAAGCATCTTCTAGTGACCTAAGTTCAGTCCTTCCAGTCCCTTCCAGCCACCTAATAGCCAAGTCTGCATGAGATCCCCAGTGCAGTATAAAGTCTTCCACTGTTTCCTATATTTAGGCATTATATCTCCTATGGAAATGTGCCCTCAGTTCTTCATCCAGAAGAGACTTTAAAGTTATTAGTAACCTTGTATAACAAGAACTTAAATTTGTATGAGAACCTTGCCCCCTTATAAGAGAGAAAATGACTAAAACTTGTTGAATACCTTTCTGTAAAATAAGTTTTGGAAATTCTAATTAATGAAAATGCTACAAGTGAGTTCAATCTTACTTGCAAAGGACAGGTATGAACATGTGTGTAACACATATAAAATTACATTAATTTAAAATATAAATACACTGCTCAAAAAAATAAAGGGGACACTTAAACAATGTATCTCCAAGTCAATCACACTTCTGTGAAATTAAACTGTCCACTTAAGTAACAACACTGATTGACAATCAATTTCACATGCTGTTGTGCAAATGGAATAGACAACAGGTGGAAAGCATGGGCAGTTAGCAAGACATCCCCAATAAAGGAGTGGTTCTGCAGGTGGTGACCACAGACCACTTCTCAGTTCCTATGCTTTCTGGCTGATGGTTTGGTCACTTTTGAATGCTGGCAATGCTTTCACTCTAGTGGTAGCATGAGATGGAGTCTACAACCCACACAAGTGGCTCAGGTAGTGCAGCTCATCCAGGATGGCACATCAATGCGAACTGTAGCAAGAAGGTTTGCTGTGTCTGTCAGCGTAGTGTCCAGAGCATGGAGGCACTACCAGGAGACAGGCCAGTACATCAGGAGACGTGGAGGAGGCCATAGGAGGGCAACAACTTTGCATCAAGACCGCTACCTCCGCCTTTGTGCAAGGAGGGACAGGAGGAGCACTGCCAGAGCCCTGCAAAATGACCTCCAGCGGGCCACAAATGTGCATGTGACTGCTCAAACGGTCAGAAACAGACTCCATGAGGGTGGTATGAGGGCCCGACATCCACAGGTGGGGGTTGTGCTTACAGCCCAACACCGTGCAGACGTTTGGCATTTGCCAGAGAACACCAAGATTGGCAAATTCGCCACTGGCACCCTGTGCTCTTCACAGAATAAAGCAAGTTCACACCGAGCACATGTGACAGGGTCTGGAGATGCTGTGGAGAATGTTCTACCATCATGGATATTTACAAGCTTCCAAAGGACAGTTGGCCAGATTTTGTCTTATCAGTGCCTGCGGGAGACAGTATAAT